AGGGAAGGGGAAGGGGAGGGAAAGTACAGGGAAGGAAAGGAGGGGAAAAGGAAGGGAGGGAAAGGGAGGGAACTAACTCCCCAGCCTCTGGGGTGAACAGTATGCACTGATGGTCTTTTGATTTGTTTGGGATAGAGATGACACTAAAGCTGCATGCCATCTTGGCGTGATAAAAACTAGGAACAAGTAATGTATTCCTCAAATCCAGTATAGCTTCTTTTTTTATGGCCCATGTTTCCATTTATGTCTCATAAGGCCAGGGCTCAATGTACCATGATAATATAAATGGAAGCTCCCAGATTTGCAATTACTTAATTTAAGGCCAATTTTTCTTTTCCCAGTCTAGAATTTGATGACATTACTAAGTACGGTGCTGTGAAATCCGTTAACTTATATGTGATGCATTTCTATAAGATACAGAGGGAAAGGAAATTGACTGAAGTTTCAGATACACTTACTATAACACCATTAAACTCTGACACTGGAAACCAAGACTATCCATGTCTTTTGCCTCCTCACACAGGACATAGGCTGACCACTTTTCCAGAAGACACCATTTAACATAAGGAAAAACAACCAAGGAATAATTTTGATGGAGAGGCTCTTACCTTTGGGGAATCAGCTTCTAGAGTGATTAGGAAGGGGAGCTTATGACAAAAATGTAATATAAAAATTAAGTAGATAAAGTTAATTTAAGGTTATGAAAATAAAGAAACTCAATAATTATGTCATCCCAAATGCCTCACTCCCTCTCTAATAAGAAGAGATACTAGCATAACACAAGAATTCCTTTTCATTTAGCTTAGCATTTAAGGAGACTGAATGATATAATTTAAATGCTTATTTATAAATTCCAAAAAATTCAATTCAAAGTCCCACAATAACTCTCCATTTTTAAGGACACATTCTTCCCTAAGCATGCACTGAAAAATCAGCACCCACAACTACAAAATTTGCTCACATATTTACAGAGAGACAAGTAAGCATGAATAGAACTTTGATAGCTGAAGGTTTCGGGGTAAGGAGGTTAAGGAAGATTCTCAGGAACTTGGAATAGGTGACTAGAAATACACTAAACATTAAATCACCCATCATTCTATATTACTTTATAAAAAGGAAATAGGGAGTGGGAAATGCGGTCAGACATCTAAGGGGTCCTGGGAAGTAGGTGATGAGAGAATACAAAAAAATCACAGAGCAAGTTAGTAGGCTAAAATGAATGTCCAAAAGTCATGCATTAGGACTCATTTATAGCTCCATTTCCCCCCCACTGTTATAGTTTTGGAGAAAACTTTTAATTTGAAAAGGAGAAATTGAAAAACATAATAGCATTATAATATTTATAATTTTTAGCTTTTTTGAAAAATAATTTTGGAAACAGCTTAGATCAAAATTTGATGGAAACTAATATCATTCTTTTGCTAGTGGATTTGTGTCATAAAATCACTGCAATTAGTATAACCTCATTATTTTAAAATTCAAACCTTTTAGAAGGAAAGCTTGACTCCTTATCTTTAGAGTTATCAGCAGTAATCAGAAGGTTCCTCCACAAGGCAGTCTTTGACATTTCATCAGAAATATTGATAACAGATGGATCATCTCTGTATAGGAGTTTGCCCACAGTAAAAGACAGTGAATAAGAAACTACAGTTATTCAATGATAGAAACTACACATAAGAAAATTTTATGTTTACATGAAATTTTTTCCTCAATTTTATTATTGTAATAAAATACATATAACTTTCCATCTTGACAACTTTTAAAAGTATTATTAAATACATTCATAATGTACAACCGTTACCACCATTCTTCTCCACGACTCTTTTCATCTTGTAAAAATGAAATTCTGTATCCATTAAATAGTAACTCCCACTTTCCAAACCCTAGAAACCACCATTATACATTCTGTCTCTATGATTTTGGCTACTTTAAGTGCCTCATATAAGTTCACTTATATAGTATGTGTCTTTTGGGGACTGGCTTATTTAATTTAACATAATTCCTTCAAGGTTCAGCTATATAACAGCAATTATCATGTTTTTTTCCCTTTAAGGCTAAATAATACTTTATTGTATATATGTATCAAGTTTTGTTTTCTGTACAGTATTCTTGATGATTAAAATTGAGGAGTACTTTACAATCTACAAAAATGTAAAGAAATTTTCTAGTTGTACAGTTGTGGATTTGGGCTGTGATTTTCTTAATTCCTTTCAGAGATTAGGTCCTGCATGTGCATTGCTGAGGCTCTTGCTCCTAACATTTGTAGCATTGCAGATCCCTTGTCTCTTTTGCTCATGACCTGCAGTGGCACTCCACTGACTCAGAGTAAACTGTCTTTATAATAGCCTTACAACTCTGTGCCCCCTCATCCCTTGCCTTGACCTCCTCCTGCCATCTCATCCCTGTTCTGGACTCTCCAGTTACAATAAAATGCCTCTGACTGTTCTAGAACACTACGGGCTTATTGCTGCCTCAAGGCTCTTCCCTGCCCGTAGTGTTCCTTCACTTTGTGGAACTCTCCCCATGCTTTGTTCAATTGTCATCTTCTGAAATAGGTCCCTGTTGATTACTCTTAATAGAGTAATAGCACAGCTATTTCCATCCCTCGTACCACTCTCATCACTTTTATTTGATTTTTGTTTTTATTGCACTTTTTATCATCTAGAATATTGTATTACAGGTTGTTCATTTGCTTATGTTCTGTTCTCTATCTCTATTAGACTTGAATACAGGTTTTATAAGGATAAGGATTCTTGATCATTTGTTTCATGCTGTTCCTCCAAGAACAGACAAAGCTGAACATTTGAAGCATGATCAATAACGATTTATTAAATAAATAATTACAGCCTGTGCATTTGACAGAGCTATTTCCACGTGGTTGGGGGAATCCACAATATCCTGGTGCTTTTTTTAAAAAACCTTTTAAAATGGAACTAATGGGGCTGGGGGTTTAGCTCAGCGGCGCAGTGCCTGCCTGGCTAGTGCAAGGTCATGAGTTCGATTCCTGCTACTGGAGAAAAACAAAACTAAATAAAATAAAAAATAAAATAAAATGGAACTAATTATAGGTAGCACTCAGGATACTCCGAAACATCCCTAGGGGAAGAAGCATAACCAAATAGCAAATGTGATTAACCACAGACCAAGTAAAATAAAATAACTGAGAAAATGGGCCATTTTTTTTTTTTTTTTTTTTTTTTTTTT